ACGGATAATAATCTGAGATTTGCCTGTGTAAACGGGGTGATTAAAAAACGAGCTTTGATTGAGATAATATTTATATGTGAACATACTTTTAGGCAGTATCAAATCGAGCTGTCACAACTGATACCACCTTGTATTATTGCATCATGATCTGGTAACAATATTGAGAAATTTTATAAAGTTTTTTGAATTTGTGTCAGCACATCTGGCATCTTTGGCTTGTTGCACAAAATTCCTATTGTTGCTTTCCTTTCTTCTCACTTTGCTTCGAAACTTTTCATTTTCTTTTATTTTTCATGTAAATTTAAACAGAAAGTGTTAATTATTAAAAAGAATATATTAACGAAAAGTATATTAATTCGCGAAACACGCTTTCAGTGCGGATTGGTAGTAAAACGAAATACAAATATTGCCTAGTGTGAGAGGTAGGCGGAAGTAAAAAGCTGGGACTCGAAACAAAAATAGAATGCCATTAGGCAATTGAAACGATATACATTCATACATATAGCATACATTCGCTACGGAAGTCAAACGACACTTGCTTACCTCAAAAATAAGAATAAAGCCTAAGACCCATCTGATATGCAAGGGATAAAGGCCCGGTCGCTAAATACATCCGGAGTAATGGACCAAGAAATCACAGTGGCAAATAAGGCAAAATCGTCTGGCGAGGGGTCCACAGATGCGAGTAAAATGCTAGAAGCAGCGCTCGAACAAATGGATGGCATAATATCGGGGAGTAGCAATGTCAACGCAAGCGTGTCCGGGAATGGAGTGAAGACTCTAACTACAGCCAGCGCGTCTATGTTTGCAGAACGAAGCTTAATATCCGCAAATAATGTACTCTCTACTGCTAAAACTCTAGCATTGGCATTACAACAGGTAAGCAATACTTATTGAATATATATAAACCACTAATTCCATATTCAAAAAATTATAAATAATATAAATTTGCTAGGTGGGATTAACCGCGCCTTCACCCGAACCAGCAATTGCGGCGGTAATAGCGGATTGGTTAGAGACTCATATTCCTCGCCAAGATGCGGACGAGCGGCTTAGGCGATTACAACGTGACAAGGAAGCGCTAGCCTTACAATATCAATTGCTGGCTGATCGCGTTGCCGAGCAAACAGATAAAATAATTGAATTAGAAGGTCTTCTTAACGAAAGGACGCAGTTATTGAGTGAGCGTGAAGAACAATTACAACGTCAAATGCTATCGAAATCTACATTAGAAACCCAAAAATTAGAGTTGATGTCTGCTTTGAGCGAATTAAAGCTCCATCGCGCCGCTTTGGAACGTGAGAATGTGGAGTTACGTGGTTTGGAAAACCAAATTGAAAATTTAAACAGCAATAATGCTTCAATTGCTTATAAGCGGGCTCCTTTCGGAAGCGTGGGAAATTTGAACCAGACAAACTTCAGTGGTTCAGGAAGTGTTGGATCACAAAAGACGCCTCCGGCTTCACTTCGCCACCAAATACATCCCCAATATCACAGTTTGCCAAGAACCCATAATACCAAACACAGTAGCAACAATAACAATAATCACCATAACTTGGGCAATTTGGGATATAATCGAACGATTGATGCGAATGCAAATATGCAGCGACAACGTAATGTTGCATTTGCATCGAATGAGAAAATTCTAATTGAAGATTCGAAAGGTACACTTCTGAGTACTAATAATGATGGGTCCGAAACTCGTGAGGATCCCATGTATAGCAGCATTATTTCCAATACAAACTCTACGCCCTCGCCAAACTTTCGTGAAAAATCTGCGAAGGGACTAAGAGGCATTTTTGGAAAATTGAGGCGAAGCAATAGCGGAAACTTGGAATTGCCAACATTAGAGTGTGCTGACGCAGAGTTCAAGCGTGGTGGTGTTGCTCGAGCCACTGCAGGTGGTCGTATCGAGTGGACTACACATTCTCCCCAACTATCAACTTCATCAAAAGGATATACAGAGTGGTCTCCCCAAGAAGTTTGCAATTGGTTGACCGACCTTGGACTGGGTTGTTATGCTGATGATTGTAGGCATGTATACTTATATTTGTAGTTATAAATTGGCTACAAATAATTATAAATTTCGTCTTTCAATTTAGAAAGTGGTTAAAGGCCAATTCAGCGATATGTTTCTTCACTGTCTCTCCAGTAGATATAGAACGAGAGCTAAATTTAAAGTCAGCACTGCACCGCAAAAAAATTCAACTTGCTATTGATGAGCTCACTGGTAAAGAAGAGGACCCGCTAGCTTTAAAAGCAGCTCAACTTGATGTTAGTTGGGTTATGCGTTGGTTAGATGACATTGGGTTACCACAATATAAAGACCCTTTTTTGACAGCTAAAATCGATGGTCGAATGCTACATCGTTTAACTATGGAAGACTTGGCACAGTTGCATGTGTATTCCTGTTTACACATAGCGTCTCTGCGTTGCGGTATTCAATGTATGCGCGAAATCGAATGGAATTCTGAGTGCCTCATACGACGTTCAGCCAAATCCGTACGACCTGCTTCAGAAGCAGATGAACAATCTTTGGAAGAAGATTATAAATCTTTAGAAGATAGTGGTGAAAAGATTTGTTTGTGGACCGCTCATCGAGTAATGGAATGGCTTAGAGTGGCTGATTTATCCGAATACGCCCCCAATCTACGCGGTGCTGGTGTCCATGGCGCATTAATGCTATATGAGCCTCGTTTCACAGCAGACTTACTGGCTGATTTGCTCAGTATTCCTCCGAGTAAAACTTTATTACGTCGGTAAGAACAAATTAATTTACATACAAAATTTTAGGTTGAGCAAGAATTTCTAACCAACATTAGTATGTCAAAATTAAAATCAGGGCTGCAAACCGGTCATAAACGTAGCCACGAACAGCAATATTTTTAATTTAAATTGCCAGGACTGAACCGAACAGTATACCAGGGCTGGGAGTTCTGAATTACAAATCCGAATATTCCGATATATGAATAGTGTGCTCTATTCGGATATCCCAATAATGTACAGATATCCGAATATCGGTATCTAAAATTCAGCAATAAGATAAAAATAGTTTGCGTATTACTGAATTATCATAAAAGGATTATTTTGCAATTCTAAGATTCTGTAACTTCGAATATCCGGATATATATTAAGTTAATATTATTAACCGGATATCCTAATTCGCCGAATAGTAGGCTTTTATCCGTATAACCGAAAGCAGGTCGGATATCCGAGTATACGAATAGTCTCAGTCCTACACCATACCCAAAGGTAACAATGCTAGCTTTTGATGAATAACGGCTTTTGGCTCAAGCGGCCTGTAACTTATTTTTGTTTTGCGAGGTTACTACGAAGCGAGTGTTTGGTGTGTGCGGACGTGCTTTTATTCGCTCTGTTATTTCGTTTTCTATTCTTTTGTAATGGAGAACTTTTGCGGAAAATGTAGTAAAACCTTCTCAAGATCTGAGTTAGTCGTATTTCCGACTCCCTCTTAGTATGTGCTTCGTATATACCACCGAATAGTAGCCATCGTCTTTACGCAGCTCACGTCGACAATATAACCTCTCTTGCTTGGTATAAAGCTGGTGATAATCATTTTTGCGTGCTTGGCGACTTTAACCTGGACACCTATTACCTGTTTAAGCACCATTTCCAAATCGTCTCTTATTGCTTGTGATGTAAATAGTCATAGTGAAACTTACCTAGTGGCTAGCTTTTTAAGTATCGATCTTATGCAAGTTAATGGTTTTTCAAATAAGCTTGGTCGGTTGGTTGCATTTAATTTTCCTAAGTAAAACTGTAAGTTTCTCCGTGTATGAATGTCATTTTTTCTATATCTAAGCCTGATACTCATCATGTGCCCCTAGTTGTTAAACCACTGTGATGTCTCTGAATGTTTTGATATCTTTAGATCCAGTGTAGTCGCCATTTGTAAAAGTATTGTTCCAGTCTTAACAAAGTAGCAATATAAAGTGCCCTGACACAACGCAAATCAGATGAAACTCCGAAATAAGAGGAACAGGTATCTTCGCAAGTTTAAGAACCAATAATAACGTTTACTTCAGCCTTTCCAAAGAATTTAGAATTTCTTCTGAGGACGTGCTCTCTGCACAAACCGACGATGATGATTGGTCTGTAGTTTTGTTTAAGCAGTGCGATTCTTTAGTCTATCCTATATTGCAAATTTTGAACAAATCCTTGTCGTCGGGCGTCTTTATAGACGATTTGAAATTAGCTTTTATCACTCCGGTCTTCAAGAGCGATAATAAAAGCGACGTCAGTAATTATAGACCTCTAAGCTGTCGGAAACGTCTAAACATTTTGAATGCATTATCCAAGGAAAAATTTTACCTGCCGTTAAGAATGTAGTATGTACGGAGCAGCATGACTTCATTCCGTGTCGCTCCACTGTATCCAATTTGACAGTATTTTCAGACGATTGTATAGCTGCTTTTCAAACTGGGGTTCAGGTTGACATTGTTTATACTGACTTCTCTAAGGCCTTCGATAGGGTTTCCCACGTTATCCTATTAAAAAAGCTAGCTTCTATTGGCTTTCAGTCAGTTTTCTTGACTTGGATTGCTTCCTACTTACGGAATCGCCGCTGCATTGTTGCCGTTGACAATGTCAGGTCCCTACCTTTCGTCGTAAGCTCAGGAGTCCCACAGGGCAGTATCCTGGGTCCACTGTCTTCGTAGTGGTTACTTATTAGTAACCCTTGTGACTCTCAATTGATGCAAATCGATATTGATAACGTCCGCAGCTGGTGCAACAAAAATCGACTCTCGCTGAATATAAATAAATGTATTCATGTTACCTTTGCTAAATGTAGTAATGTTATTCAGACTTCCTACCCATATCTTTATCACCCCTCTAACGTTTGCATGAAATAAAAGACCTCTGGTCACCGTACTTTACGTGTCACATTACAAGGATCGAATGTATACAGAAGGTATTTTTACGCTTTGCGCTTCGTAGCTTATGCTTCCCGGACCCTCTTCCCACCTATGAATCGAGATGCCTACTGATAAATCTAAAATCCCTGCAGAGTAGAAGAACAATCTTGTCTTTGTTCTTCATCTTCGATATCGTTTGTGGTGTTATCATAGACTGTCCCGCACTCCTTAAGAGGACTCCCTTTAACATTCCTGCCAGACCGCTTCGGTACCCGGAACTTTTCTGCATTGGCGTTTTTAAGCTCTCTATGCACGAAATGTTTCACAGGTATTTACGGATCAGTTATTGTACCAGTGCCAGATTAACCTTAGTGCTACGAACAACTGAACCGTACAAAATCGACAATTGAAGTTATTTGCAGCCCTGAAGAAAATATATAAAATGAGTATACATACATACAGCCCCCGGCAAAAGATATCACCCATCATTTTGACAATTTTTCTTTGGCTTTTTTAAGATACGAAATTTTTTATGGATCATTAACTAACAAAAACCGTATAAATCTTAAATTAAACTTGTAAATATTTGGAATTGGGATGAAAAGTTTGTGGACTTTTTATAATTTTTGTACAAAGTTTGAAATTTTGGATTAATATGGTTTTGGTAGCTATACTTTTATAGAAAAGTTATGAATATTAAACAAACAAAAGGTAAATAGTCCAAACTGATCAAAATGTTGAGGTGCTACCGTTTCGTCGCGGGCTGTACGAACACATATGTCACAGTCGAATATTTCCGTTTACAGCCATCTGGCCACACATTTCAAAGAACTTCTGGGTCGAGATGTCATACAAAATAAACGTGACGTTGAATCAGCTCCTGGATATCTACCATTAACAATAACATCTAAACTAAAACCGCCAAAGAAGACACAGTTCTCACTGAAACGCAGGAAAAGCTACAAAGGATGTGGTGATGTAGACTGGACTGATTACGTATGTCCCATGATGTCTTTGTGCCTTAGCAGCAACAATCAAGATAAGTCACTTTCCACTAGCGACTCGAGTAGTTCAGGGGCTGCGTTATCTTTTGCCGGAAATACAAATAACACAAAAGAAGGAAATATCGGGAGTAAAACCCAGTAACTCAAATACATATTGCGTATGTACTATTTAAATATTAATTTGAAGTAGTTTATCAGACTAAATTTACTAAATTATAATTTTTTTTTTTTTACTTATATACTTTAACAGTGAAATTTTCGGGGTCTACGATTTATTAGTACTTTTCCAGACTCACCCGCTATAATTCTGTTTTAACTCACTTTTTGACCCTTATTTTGACAATTTATTTAAAGAAAGTAACAATAGTCGAAAACATTATATTGATTGCTTTTGGTTATGCAAATCACACATACATACATATGTAATTTTTTTAAAGTTACTATTTCCAGTGCTTTATTTCATAGATCACTATGAGGCTTATAGAAAATTAAATTATTTGACTGTTGCATTTTCTGGACCATTGCAATGTTTACCGAACAAACAAAAGATTCATGCAAACTTCTTTGTACAGGCATTTAAATCTTAAAGTGTCTTCCAAATAAATTTTGCAGAATGTAGAACATATGTATGTATGCATACCATTTATGTATAGCATGCATGTAAGTATACTTATGCAATAAAGTACAGTGGAAAGCTAAAAATTAAGTTGAAAATATAGTATTCAGCATAAAATGTGGCCCAAATTGGCATTTATTACTGTCTGATCTTTCAAAAAGATTAAAGAAACCCTTGAAATAACGACTTATGTATGTATTTACAAAATAATTATATTAGGATGAGATAGTTATACCTTTATATTTATGTACATATACATACATACATTTCTTATATCAATATAAATTAATAAAAATTTTAGAAGCCCTTAAATAATATCGATATTAAACCGATTATATATTTATTGTGGTATTATGATATGCGCATATTTATCACATGGAGATTGTAGCAAAATCGTCAGGTTTATTTTTTTATTCGTACCTAAGCTGTAAAAGATATTTAACCAGCTTAGCCCCACCTTCAGAGCATTTTTTTTGCATTGGGAATATATCTATGAATGTTTGTATTCGTAATGAGTTCAAAATTATCCTTAATTACGAGAACATGTGCACCATAAATAAATAAAAAAAACATTGCGGCTATTCTCTGAGTCTTACAAAGCCCTTGCACGGTTTACAGATTGCACGATAAAAACCGGTTTTCGTATGCGACAGCTTTGTAAACCGTGCAGTCCGTCCACCGTGCCAGGGCTTTGCAAGACTCAGAGAAAACCCCTATTGGCATTAAATACATATATTTCAAATAAATGTTGAGCATTGTTTTAAGTATGCATTCATTATATGTATGTAGTACTTAGCGCTCCAAGCCATTTGTTGGAAATCTGATTGCAATATTTGCCTCTCAAAATCTATACACACACACACATACGTATGCATGTGTTGCAAATTCGCATTCAACTGGGATTTTCAACAAAATTTTATACAGATATTAAAGCGTTTCATTGACTAGTTTAGTTTTATAAACTTTTTACAATAATCTAGATACATATGTATATATTTTTCTTGTTTATGACTATAAATATTAACAAAATAACAAATATAAAATAGATATGTAAATTATTATTTAATTTATAGGGGACGCTTACTTTCTAATCAATCTTTGGCAGTGTTATTTATTCGATTGAAATATTCTTATCCACATCTAATAAGCAAAACTATTTTGTTCAGTCATTTATGTATAAGCTCTTTAACTATGCTTGCACAGTATTATCCAATGAGTTTTGCTCGAGTACAACATTCTCAACCACGCTACTAATTGCACTCGGTCGGTCCGCATTTTGTGGGCATACTCTGCTAGTTACCAAAAACCCATGACGTTGCAGTAAACTTTCGACACCGAGTTGCTCAGTAAAATTGTGTTGTGTATTTGCTTCGTTTTTGACATCTTCTTCAGTGATGGGTTGGTGCATCACCTCCACATTCTCTGCCGCATTTGCTCGATGCACCTCCTCTGGTAGGTAGTCTTTCCAATTGCGAAATAAATAACGTGTGAACTTTTTCAACTGGCGAAACTTACAATATGTTGCACCCTCAGCCGATTCGAGTTGCTGCGTTTGGATGAGAAATCCTTTTTCCTTAAACGTTCTTTCTAGTTTCTCACGTTGAGATGATCGTCTAGATTTCTTTTTTCTCTGTATTGAATGATATGAGCTAGATGGTTCAAAGAGAGCATTCGTGAAATGGTCCTTTGCGAGAATAATTCTGGAAGAAACACTTCCGGTAGACATAACGTTCCCGCTCTTTGAACACAGTGTTGTTTGAAGGTTATGTGACTTCTGTTGTGTTGCCAATGCTGGAGAGCCAGAAAATGAAGAAATTGGCCTGGATAAGGGCGATGGTGATGAAGGCTCTGGTAGTGTTACAGAGCCTGGTAACAACGTCGCAGTCGGCGATTCAGGAATTTGCAGAATTTCGTTACTGAGATCTGCTGAGGGTGGCGGTATGTCACTTGTTAAGCACTCGCTAGCCGCGTGCGAAAACGTCGCCGCACAATTTACGCCCGGCAAGAAACCAGCAGAATTCTGAAGGCTTTCACGAGGAAAAAATTCATAACCCCGTGTCGATTTATCACCCGTGCCACTGTAGTATCTGTAGTTACCACCCGAATCTACAGAGAGCATTTTCTTTTCCTCTAAAGTGGGCTTAGCACCGCCTGTGAATTTAAATTTACATATGCTCACTTCTGTGGCTGGATTTGTTGCGTTTTCAGATGGAATGGGTGGTATAAAAATAGCAGATCGTTTACGTTTCTGCGGTGTGATTTGTTGATGACTAGGATTCATTGTAGTAGCAGTTGTGGCACTCACTGCTGTGGTTGTTGTCATATTCGAGTTTTCCGATTTAATCGATGATGGCGTGGACAAGATATCAGGATAATCGATCATTGGATTGTCAACGTTTAGAAGCGGAGTAAGCTTCTCTGACTTGGGCGTTTGCAGCAAACCATTTGGTATAGGTATTTTAAGCGTTAGTTGATTGTCTTTTTCTATGGTCTGAACAGGTAGACCAAATGGTTGACTATGTTGGTTCACTAAGGTGCCTGAGAGCAATTTTTGGTAATACAGACTCACAGGATGCAGCAGTACATTATGTTCTGCTGATTTGGGCGATTGTAAGTTTGTCAAAGATGGGCTTGTAGGATCTGAATTGCGAGTTTCATCTTTTGGTTCGACTTTAACTGGATTCGATTTCAGATCTAAAAGGCTATCTAAATCTGTTTTAAGTAATTTCACACTTTCGATTAGTTCCTTGCTAGGTGAGTTGCCATCCGACGGGTCGCTTACACAATCACTATCTTCGCTTGAGATCGACAAGTGGTCACATAGTTGATCTCGCATGCAAAGATTTAATGGCAGTTCATCAAAAATTTCGGATTCTGGTGGTCTTTGACCACACCCGATTGTTGCATGCGGTGTGGTAAGTACGCTTTTGGGCGTGCCAGGGAATATGGTTCCATAATTTTTGTATATAAGATGACATATGTCTGCCTTTTTTGGCTTTCGTCCACGTCGTGGCTTCGAATGATCAAGAGTTATCTCGCCCATATACGGCAGGTCCGCGTAGTTAATAACTTTTTTGGGGACATCTGACAAAACTGGAGGTGAGACCTTAACCACAGGGTTTGGCACAAATTTACATCTGGAAGATTTCACCCGCTCAAATTTTTCATTATTGTAAACCTGCTTTGATGTGGCATGTGGCTCATTTCTTACGACGGACTCATCCGGCAGTTCTAGGCTTGACGTTTGCATCCGGCTGGCCTGATAATTGTTATTGCTATCGTTTTTCGATTTCTTTTGTTGCTGACCAACTACCTCTTCGCCTTGCTTGCTCTCCGACTGCTGAGCCGATCGATGGATTGCAGCAATCTTTTGCAACCAGCTACGAACATTTTCGTGTGAACTCTTCGGTGGCGGAAATTTGGAAGGATGAAAGGTTTTAGCTTTGGGAATATCTTCTGACGTAATAGCTTTTATATCTTTATCGCGCCGGGAAAACTTGGCTTGTGTAGCTTCATAGTGACTTAAATACTCGGGCGGCAAAGCTTGATGATGGAAACGCAGTTTTAAAACACCCTTATTTTTGGCAAGCTTCGGTTCATTCGATTTATGATTTTTCTGCAAGTCACTAGTCGTGCTTTGAGTTTGCTGGATGCTTCTCTTAAGCTCGTTGGCTGCACGGTTCTGAGCACTCATTAGACCGGCCTTAACTTTAAGTTGTTGCTTTGTCAATGAGCTACATCCGTTTAGTGGCACCTTCACGGATAGCTGTGTGGATTTTCCCATAGACGGCAGTGGGCGCAAATTAGCTTTTGATGAAACAGATGAAGAGGAATTCGTTTGAATAGTGCCTCCCTGATCATTTAGATTATTTTCTGCATTTTGAGATGCTGCTACAATCAGTGGGTGATCATCATCCCCACCCACAACACTGTTGGCCCCACGACATATTAGAGGGTCATCGGAGCTTTGCAATAATATTTTGCTAGTGATTAAATCTAAACGATGTTGGTGCCGATCAACATGTCGATGCTGGTGGCTATGTTGGTGGTTTTGCAATCGATGATGTGCGAGTTCCTGACGATTCATTGGATGTTGTTGCCATGTTGTGGGATGAGTTGGAAATAAATCAGTAGAACCAGCATCAGCGATTTTAATGCTATTGAGAACAGTTGTAGGTACTACACTGGCGATATAATTATTGGCGTCATTTTCAGTTGCCGGCATTGGTTGTTGACCCCCCGGCACAATAGACGATGTGTTCGGGGTCACTCGATGGATGGCCAGACACATGCCTTTTTCGTAAGTGGAGTTTACGCCATTCAATAAATCGAAGTCATCGGACGAGCCCTCATGCATGCTATCAACAGCTGAAAAAGAGGTGGTAAATAAAATAACTAAATTAATACATATTTATGTATGTTTGTATGTGTGTAATTAATTTACGCTGCTAGCATTTGAAACTTTGTGGTTGATAAATTAACTTTTAGTTTATATATCGCGTTTGTTCGCAAATATTATATTATATCTCGATATTTTTCATATTTCATGTTTAGACCAAAAAATGTTTTTGCAAGCACATCATATATGTACATACATATACATATATGTACATACATACATATCTGTGGCATTTTCATGAAACAACTTCAGTAACTTTAGAAGGTTTGACTTTGGATAAAAAATAATAAGTTACCCTACAATAAAATTATAGTTTAAAAAACAAAAACCTCCCTATTATAATTGCCATTCGTACCCATATAAACCCAAGTTTAAAAATTTGTAGAAAACTACAAAAAAGTGCAAACAATTTTCTCCTAAATTTTTTCTCGGAAGTGTTTGAATTTTTCTGAATACACTGTTTTATAGCCCAATCAATTTTAGTCTGATAATGTGCAAGTTTCAAGTGGCTAAAAGTTACCGTTGATTTTTTAGAATTTTTTTCGCCAAAGGTGTTGCGGTTTTCTTCCATATACATACAAATAAATTGAGTTTATTCATTATATGGAAGCCAGTGCGACAAAAGAAATTCTAAAAAATTAACGGTAATTCGTAGCCACTAGAAATTTGCACATTATCAGACTAAAATTGCAGGGGCTAAAAAACAGTGTACTCAAAAAAATTCTAACACTTCCGGGAAAAAAGTTTCAAATTTAGGTGAAAATTTGTTACACTTTTTTGTAGTGTTCTACAAATTGTTGAACTTGGGTATATATCAGGTTTTTCTGAGAATGAACTAAATTTTAATTGAAAATTCTTAAAAATAAATAAGTAAACATGAGGGGCACATAATATCACTTGCAAAAGGGCGTGCTATAGATATGACCGATACTGTATGTATGTATACATATATATCTATGTAGGAACTCTCACTTGAACCAAAACACATTATTATATATACATATTTAGTTAAGTTTAACATACAATTTCACACATTCAACAATATAAAAAATTAAATTGAGCAATCGAGGGGGGTTACTTCGATATTTCAGTGAAAAAAAAAGGATTTAAAAATATTTAATATAAGCAAATGCGAGAATACACTGCTAAGCACCCATAATTACCGGTAAACGAGAGTTCTGGTAACATTTTAACCAAATGTTTGATCAAACACCGGTTGTTCTTATCACTCGAGGTAAGAATATGGCGCCGTCTATTTCCCGGCGATCTCGTTTCGCATACAAACGAAGTGATCAATCGCTTGCACTCTTGTATGTAGTTTTCACTCGGAGAGTCAATTCAAATTTCGAATTTATTTTTATTTACATGTATGTATATGTATGAATGTATACAAAGTATGTATATTTTGCCTTATGCTTTTTTTGGATTTTTATCGGCAATATTCGTGTCGCGCTCTTGTTTTATACTCTCTACTTTTCTATGTATGTATGTATGTATGCATGTATCCGTGCACTTTTCTCGTGCGCGTTTTTCACGAAATTTTCAAATGTTGTTTGTGCCTTTAGTATGAAATTTGATTCCCTTTATGCGAAAATTACCATATACGGTATACAAGTATTTTTACACATTGAATCTTAACATTCTTTTCTATGCTTGGATAATATGTAGGTACATATGTATGTATGTAGGTGGCGATCAGTTTTGATAAACGGATTTTATCGATGAGGTATTAGTTGACGAACACAATAAATAACTATTGCGGATAACACGTGTTTATTGGAATCATATTTGCATATCGTACACATCTCTGGTATAAAACTTTGCATATCCCTCCCTAAGAGAGCGAACTTTACAATATTTTGAGCAACGGTTTTTTGATGACTGCGATGTGATTCACCTTTGACTCGCAGCAATTTCCTTTTCCGTTTCCTTTGGTTTGGTTCCCTTAATGATGTATCTGTTATCGGCAGACATTCAGCAAATGCTTACACACGCGTGATCATGGTGACATCCAAAACGCAACTAATATGATTAAAGAATTTTCCGAAAATCCACCTTAGATGGACGTCCCACCAAGGCAACTGAATCTTTAATAAACATACATATTGTACATATGTATATACACACATATTAGTATCTATCTACAATGTATTTAAATACTTTTTTTGTCACTGCCAAGCTACTGAGCGAATGCATGTTCTCATCTCGATCGCAATTGTGATTGCTTCTTCGACTGATTCAGCTATAACACATTCGTTCACAGCTTTGTATTACGGTGTTCTCATATATTTTAGCTTGGCATTTAGTGCTCAGGAATCGTTTTGCTTTTCTCAACGGAAAACGAAAATGTGTACGATGTTAAAATTAGAAAAGCCAACTTGTTGAGTGCCGCTGCGATCGTTGTCCCCACTATTGTTGTTACTGTCGTTTCCTTTGGACATGAAAGAGGTAAAGAGTTACATACATACATATATATGTATGTATGTATGCATCTCAAACGGCTTTGTTTGGTCTGATTTTTATGTTGCCAAAGATATGTAAAGTTCTTTTCCTAAAAAGTGCTTGTTCAAGAGATCAGTGGCTCGCTTTTAGGCGGAACAATACAGACAAGGCAGAATTATGGCATTGATTCTTAGTTTCATTAGCCAAGCACAGTGATTTAACTACAGCGGATATATTACGAAACTCAAAGTAACCGATACTGTTTTGTTATAGATTTCGAATTTTACCGTTGATCGATAATGTTAGATGTGACATTAAATAAATTGGAGTGCAATGGGGTATAGTCATTGCGCTGGGTATGCAGTTAC